AATTTCATTTTTATTAAAACAATTTATAATTGTTGAATAACTAACATTTAAACGATTATTGTAGGCATTTATTCAATGATAAAAATTTCTAATAATTAGATTAGTAGGTGATGAATAAACAATATATAACATTAGTAATTTTAAGCAAACATGGATAGTGACTAGTAGTGGAATCCAGGACGCACGTTTAGTTTTATTTGGGACTCATCAGCTAGATGTACCTGAATCACAGATTTGATGTTCACTCCAGGACTCGAATTCAGTACCATTCACTTCAAATTCCATCATGTTATCCACTTAACTACTAAGTTCATCTTTGCTTAAAGAGCTTGTGACTTAAGGCTATATCGAGGCAATCCTCACGGGATACATATATACCAACAAGAGACTGATCAATTGCAGACCCACAATAGGACGAAACGGCCGTCCAGTGCTCCCAGGTTTTCCATGGCGATCTAGCTTTAATTGACTCAACATCTCAACTATTAATTTTACTATAATATCCACAAAACCCCTTCTGATATTAATCAGCATATAATCACTAGGGAATGGCTGCAATAGGTATTTTCTCCTGTTCTGGTAAGAAGTAGTGACAAATGGAGTTGAACTGAGTCTGTTGTGAGATAGTAACTCACTGATGACAATGGTGGAAGTGTCGCTGAATTTCGTGGATTAATTGAAGTTAGACATTAACACCGTTGGATGCTGGCTGTCTCAGTGGTCTAGATGTTAGGCGCTCGCGCGGGAGACTGATTGGTCCCGGATTCGAATCTCACGAGGCGAGATCGTGGATGCGCATTTCTGAGGAGTCCCATACCAGGACGAAACGGCCGTCCAGTTCTTCTAGGTTTTCCATGGTGGTCTAGTTTCAATTGACTCACGATCTCCGCCGTTGAGATAAATTTTCATTTGATATCAGTTTTTGTTTTCTTTTCTCTCTTTTTATTATTAAAAAACCTAAGTTGTTTTTCTATTTTGAACTACTAGCCATTTTTTCTTCATTATATCACTAGCATTTTATTTACTCAGTTTAGTTTACCTGGATCATTATTATCATTATTCAATAATAAATTTCCGCATATCTTTTGACGTTATGTAACAAGGATAAGATATTCGTTTTACTTCATTTCATAAACAAGATAAACAATTGTGTAATCTTAAATGAGATTTCTTATTGCCAAAATGATTATCTCAGTCTTTGGAAAGAATGAATATCGGTGAACATAATAATAATAATAATAATAATAATAATAATAATAATAATAATAATAAAAGTCAGTTAGACGACGCTAAATTCCATTGAATGGTGTATTTTATTTCAAAAGTTCAAAAACGTTCTTTTGTAAAATTTATTGAACAGTTAAAATAAAAGACAACTAAATATAATTTATATAAGAGACCAGTTTAGTTTAGTAAAATTCAACTATTTTGCTTACTTATATACGTCTGTTACCTCTCATGAAGGAGTATAAGCCACCAACCGGCATCCAACTCTGTCCCAAGCAATTTCTTTACAGGTCTTTCCAGTTGTTATTCACTATCTTCATATCTACTTCTAATTTCTGAAACAGTATGTTCTTTGGTCTTCATCTTTTCTGCTACCCTTCAGGATTGCGAATTGGTACATGCTTCGAGATGCAGTTTGGTGATTTTTTCAATGTATGTCCTATCCACATCCAAAGTCTTTCCCTGATTTCCTCCTCATCTGGAAACTGGTCTATTCTCTTTCTTAGTAGACTGTTGATGAAAGTATCCGACCAACGAACATTGAGTATCTTACGTAGCCAATTGTTTGGAAATACTTGTACCTTCTTGATGACGGTTGTAGTAGTTCTCCACTTTTTAGCTCTATACAGTAGGACAGTCTTGACGTTCGTATTGAATACTCTGACTTTAAAGTTGGTTGAAAGTTGTTTTGAGTTTCATATGTTCTTCAAGTGTAGGAATGCCGTCCTTGATTTGCCAGTCTTTGCCTTTACGTCTGCATCGGCTCCTCCTCGTTTATCTATTATGCTGACCTGTCACGTGAAAGTTTCCACCTGTTTCAGAGTTTCTCTATTAGGCGTGATTTGGTTGGTGTTCTTTGTGTCGTATTTGAGTATCTTGCTTTTTCCCTTGTGTATGTTGAGGCCTACTGGTGCACTAATTGTCTTCACTTGCATTTGTTGATGTGTATGGGATAGAAGGACGAAGTCATCTACGAGATCCAAATCGTCCAGTAGCATCCCAGCTGTCCAATTTATTCCAGGATTCCCCTCGGATGTTGAGGTCTTCATAATCCAGCCAACTAACGGAAGAAATAGAAAGGGTGAAAGTAAGCAGTCTTATCTGACTCCGGTCCTCACTTGGAATGCATCTGCCAGCTGTCCTCCATTCACGACTTTGCACTGTAGTCCTAGACGTAGCAGTTTTCTGGTAACTGACTAAAACCAACTTGATATAATCCACATAGTGTCAGTTCATTTTTATTAGTATCGATATTATAACTTAACTGATAAAATTCTATCAAAATCAAAGGATTAAACAACCGCGATATTGGTCACTACTAACTGATCAATCATTTGTATTCTCTCATTGCTAATTGACATTAGTTAGAGAACTTCTGAGTGAGCAAGGAATTCTGGATATTTGTTTAAGCAAAGCTTGAAATTACCGATCAATGTATGTGCCAAAACCTACTTTTACACAAGATGATTATTAAAACTTTTAATTCTCATAACCAACACGATAGATTTAAACTGTGTAGTTACAATGCAACGCTTCACCTTTATGACATCATTTAGGTTTTAATATTACACTTTCGGCTTAATTCAATTTTACTTATTATCATTAGCTCATACGCTTAGAGTTTATCTTATACCTGATGACCTTGTTAATGAGTTAATTTTTTTAGTTTTGGATTTGATATTAGACAGTAATCATTTCGTACCAAAATGGATATCATTCATACATTCGAATAAATCCAAATTGAATAATTTTCATAAATTACCGTATCTAAGCAGTAATTATGTGACTAGTAGTGCTTAATTTGAAGAGATAATCACCCGAGTTCTAGTGAAAAGCTGTGTCCAGTTTAATTTAAACATATTTCATGCAAAATAATTATTACTAATTCCGCTGGATATTAGTCATGTAATATCATCAATTAACTGGATTTAAACATGTAAATTATTAGATGTTAACTCAGCAGTCTCAAGGTTAAACGCTCAGTGTCAGATCTGGATGTCCCACGGTTCGGTAGTTGCTAAACATTGTTAATGTTCAATCTTGAAAACTCATTATTAGGATAAAACAGCTGTTTAATCCTTCCTCATTTTCAAAGGTTGGGTAACTGAAGTTAGTTCGTGATGTAACCCACATAAGTAGTAATTGTTGGCTTATGTATGACTAGGTTTTAAAACTCCTAAAGCTTTAGTGAAAGGCCTTGACTGGTTTAAATTAATTGGGTCAGGAATGACACTAATATCGCTGATGTCATAGAATGGTCTTTGAGCTATATTGAAAATTGATTGAAGCTGAAACTTGTAACATTCGGTCCCACTTGAGTAAATTATAAGCATTGCGCTCACTATAAGGTCCGACAGTCTCCAACTTACAGATATGAATAAGTACTGCCATTACGATTACATATATATTCTTTGCCTCCTAGAGTTTAACTTACCTCAGTTTATAATCGATACTCATTTCATATTAAACAATTTATATAAAACTCATAACTATACTACTAGTGAGCTGATAAAACATAGGGAACTGTAATAAAGTTTCAGATTTTTTCGTCATTATGTTGTGAAGAAAACCATTTTGCTAAGTTGGCATTTTTTTGCCGGTTATCGATTCAGCATAGTTCTAGGCTTATATCATGCTAACCCTGGGTATTTATTCAAAAAACAATGAGTTTTTTTCATTCAGGAGATCTTACATACTTTTGTATTTAGCAGTAACACAGCTTATATTTTATGTCATATCAATGTATGATGATAGAAGAGGAATACTATAAATTGATCAACTGACTGAGTTTTGGTGTCAGTTGTCTGAAATTAACCAAAATATTGCTTGACAATAAATAGCTCCTCAACAATGTACCTCACACATCTGAGTCAGTAATCAATTCTTGAGGCTTCGGGCTTTGTGGTCATAACTTAATTTTCTTAGTTCTCTAAGCTAATATCATGCATATTATCTTCTTGTATTATTTGCTTGTATTTAGCCTTTATTGAATGTAGCAGTTAAAAAATAGGACAGTTATGTATATAGAAACATGTTTTTAGCCTGTTCTATAGAGGAATCCAAGCATTGCTGATATCAGGAATGTTACAACTGAAATAACAAAATGCTAGTAAAAGAAGCTTTCAAATAATTTTGTACTTCTGTTGTTATACTCTGTCATGTCCAAAGATTTATCCACAACCACGTTTTACATCAATCCGTCGTAGAATATAGTGACAATAGACACTTTTGGTCAGTTCAATTATATAAAAGTACTGACTCTAAGTGTAACGTATGTCTGATGAACAAAATGTTTCTATAGCAACCTAGTATATAAGACCATGCCATGCGAAGAAATGACTGCTGGTTTCGAGTGTATGAGTTATGCAAAAAAATGGTCTGAATCTCCTTACTATCTACTGAGAGCTATTTAGTTTAGAAAACATTACAACAACGAAGTACCGATAGAAAGAGACTGATTAATTCAGGCCTGATTCACATGAATATATGTCCCTTTACTCAAATATAGTTAGCCAAATGGCCATAAAATGATCACTTCTCGATGTTTTTACAAGCCAATGGTCTATTTATACTACAATCATTTCATTAAAAAAGAAGTTTCTAATTGATTAACTCCACTGAGTAATTTACAAAATGAAAAATGTTTCCTCCAATCAAAATGTTGCAACAATGTCAACCAATCAAATCAAACCAATTGCAATTATATAAGCACAATAAAGCCATAAAATCACGCACAAATTATTTATAATAAAGAAATCTATTTTATTATCAATATGCCTGGACTCATTTCAACTGAAGAAAGTAAAGTTATAAGAAAAATATTAATTCCAATTTATGAAAGTTCTGAAGCTCATAAAGCAATATTATGGTATGTTAATAATCTGAAACTTCCTGGTGATTTGATTATTTTCTTACATGTTATTGAACCTATTCTACCATCTGCTTTATCTGGACTATCAAGTCAATATGAAACATTGCCATATAATGACAAATATCATGTATCTGAAAAAATAATGAATAAAGCTAAATTATTATGTCAAGAACTTGTACATGAAGCAAATATATATGGTATCAAATCGGAAGCAATGATACAAATTGATACAAAACCAGGTCCAGCTATAATTAAAATGATTAATGAACAACATATTGATAATATTATTATGCTTAAACGTAGTTTAAGTTTTATTAAACGTGCAATTACTGGAAGTGTTAGTTCATATGTATTACATCATTCTAATATACCAGTTACTATTCTATCAACAATGAATAATTAAAATTTATTAAAGATAACAAAACTATCAACCTCTTTTTTCAAAAAAAATAATAATAAAACGCATTTTCAGTATTGTACGTATATACATATATGGAAAGAGATAATATTACCACATAGTTCATTCAAAGAAATATTGAAATTGAACAATGAACAATGAAAGCACTTTATTCAAACAATGAAATGATCAACGCCCCACCCCCTCCTTTTTTTGTTTTTGTTTTTTTCTGATTTATTCTGCAATACATCATTTTCATTTTACATTGTTGTCCAAAGATAAATAAATATTTTTATTTATGAAAATATGAATGGTGTTGTTTTGTTTTGGTTTTCTTATTAGAATTGACTTGATCCCATTTAAGTTTTTGATTGAGATCGTGTACCGATTGATGTTAGACTGTCATTGAAGACCTGGAGGCATTGTTTCGTCCTATTGTGGGAATACTTGGCATTGCACATGCACAGACCCGTTCGCAGGATTCGAACCTAGGGCCTTCAGTCTTGCACGCGAATGCTTAACCTCTAAACCACTGAGTCGGCATCCACTGGTGTTCATGTCTAACCTTAAGCAATCCATGAAATTCCTTTCAGGTTTTCAATGGTGGTCTAACATCAATCGGTTCACTATCTCAATCAAAAACTTAATAATCTTCACAACCCTATACCGACCATTTAAATTTGTGTGTGTGTGAGAGAGAGAGATATGAGAATATGATTGTGTATATTGTCATAGAGTCGTATTAAAAAAAGGAATCGATCAAACTAATCTTTTTTAAGGATAATAACTTAAATGAAATTATTAAAGTGGAAAATTCTCATAGTGAGATCATATAGTGAAAAGAAAAACAAAATGTTCAGATCGTAAAACTTTATTTAATCTTAGAATATTGAAAGGATTATCTATTTAGTTTATATAGGAAGGGGTTTTGTGGAGATTGTAGTAATTTTCGTTTCGTCCTGAGGAGTCCCACAATAGGACGAAACAGCTGTCCAGTGCTTCCAAGTTTTCCATGATGGTCTAGCTTCAATTGACCCATGATCTCAGCTATTTTAATTTATATAAGTTATGAATAATATGAGTAGCTCTGATAATTGATACATATTTCAATGATCATTGACATAAGCTACTAGATTTTATTGAAATAGAGATAAGGTATTTGTTATTTCTTAATAATATTAGATAACCAACTATTCACAATGCTGGTAATGGTAGTAGTAATAATAAGGATATTGGTAGTACTAGTAGTAATATTGTTGCTACTGTTAGGAGTGGTAGTAATAGTAGTACGATGTGTGCTACTGATGTCGATCAATATAAATAGTATGTATCATCAATCAAAAGTAGAATGTCTGGCGGCAAAAGGTTAAGAAAATCGTAAAGAAGAGAATGAGTACAGAAAGTAACTGATATGGGAACGAAGGAACAACAAAGCATGAGATAATAGATGTATAGTTTGCAAATGAAGTATTGAATGTATGGTTCACATATTTTATCAAGAGATCCTATAATTTTATATTCAAGTGCATTTAGTTGTCTTCGCCTGTGTTCTCGTTCATTACAATAGTAATACTAATGCTAACGGTGATAGTACTTCTACTATTAATAGTAGTATTATTAAAAATTCACTTAGTGTTGTTTTACTTATATCTTCTCATTGTTACTTAAGACTGTAATTGATTAGTCTCATGTTGGCATATGTGCATCCTATGCGGATTGCCTCAATATAACCTTAAGTCACAAGCTTTTTAAAAAGCTGAAAGATCATCGGAACTTGTAAAAATCTACAATGAATTCCACATGACATTCTTATCTGTAAAAATTTGAATTTAATACGTTCTTAATTCTACTTTGATGAGTTGAACTTCTCATTTTATCATGCGATATGATAGAAAACCTTTTTCTTAAATTATTTGATCTTTAACGATCAACTACCATATCATACCATAAATGACCTCAATATTTAAAACTTAAAAGAATAATAGTAGTTAGTTAGTGTTAAACTAGTATGTCGTGTTAATTAATACAGAATACTGTAAATCAGTCTATTGATTATTAGGTAAATATCACGTAGATGAAATCTAATAAAAATTATGCAATTATCCATTTATTGTAATGGTTATTTAATTCATAGACTTAAACAACAATAAAACTAAAATTATTGTTGGTCAATTAAGTATCAGAAGGAATTTTGTAGAGATTGTAGTAATTTCAGCAGTTGAAATCATGAGTCAATTGAAGTTAGAACACCGTGGAAAACCTGGATGCACTACACGGCCTCTTCGGCCTACCGTGGGACCCCTCAGCAGCGTGCATCCACGACTCCGTCTCGCGGGATTCGAACCCAGGACCCATCAGTCCCGCGCCAGGCGCCTAAACAACTAAACCACTGATCCGTCTGGCATCCAACGGTGTTAATGTCGGCTCAGTGGTCTAGTTGATTAAGCGCCTGGCGTGAGACTGATGGGTCCTTGGTCCGAATCCCGCTAAGAGGAATCGTGGATACGCACTGCTGAGGAGTCCCGCAGTAGGACGAAATGGCCGTCCAGTGCTTCCAGGTTTTCCATGGTGGTCTAGCTTCAACTGACTCATGATCTCAACTGTTGAGATAAATTAAGTCTTAAACAGATTCTTACTTCCTTACATAAATTATGTATATTTTATGCTTTGTAATGAACTCTTTTATGCATTCAGAACTACATATAAGATAGGATTTAGGAACTCTAGACCTCAGGGTGTGTGCATTATCTTAAGGCCATTGATATGTAGTTCAACGATTCACATTTCGATGTTCATTCAATTGCCCATCAGTGATGTGTTACCTAGCATTTCAAAGATAAACCTGTTATTGTAGGGAATAAAATATACAAGTTCAGTCTCTTGCATGACTTTTCAAAGATTTTTCTCTTACCTGTTGGGTTCAAATGTTGACTTACAATACGAATGAAATAGTTCTGTTTGGTTAAGACGTTGATAAAATGCAGAGTTTTCTGACCACCTGAATCAAAAATCCAAGAATGTTTGGGATGTGGTTCTCTATCTTCAAATACAAGATGTTACATCAGGATTGGTTTGCGTCATCGTCTAAGTTAATGATAGAGAGTGAAGTAGTTGAATGCGTCAACCTCTTCACTTATCTTGAGAGTATTATCAGTCCGAATTGTTAAGTGTCTGAAAAATCTTCCGACCTCAGAGCAAGTTTATTATGCAACAGTTTGCTCTGTCCGATATTATAGATGAGAAATATGACAATCAGAGATATAGGATATTCGTAGGTTATTTTCGTTCGATGATGGGTGTATTTCAAGCATTACTCGTGTATTTTGAGATCACGAAGTAAGCAATTTCGGGGTTAAGAATAGAGTACTAGGCGAAGATGGGAAATTTATTGACGAGGTAATAAATCTCCATCAACTGAGGTGGTTGGGACATGTATTACGTGTCCTCAACCACCATCTACCTCGGCAGACGAATTCTTCTAATGTAGGAGTAGACTGGTAGGACATCAAGGGTAGCTCATTCACAACATGGAACCAGTCCGTGAAGATAGTGACAGTTGGACCAGATTGTTGGAGTCCCCGTGATTACGGTAACCAGTGGTTAGAGACTTTGAATGACACGTCTCAAATTCGCTTGCGATGGCTCAAGTGCATACGTTTTTTGTCTTCCCCCAAAATCAAAGCCTCTGAATCCTTCATAACTATCATTGGAGTTTTTATTTCATTAATCTATATATCCTAGATTCGTATGCTCGATACCTAATCTATTCTAGTACCACTAATACTGTTGCAATCTTATAACATTTCTCCTATAATTAATTTCGATTACGGGTAATTATTGTCAAGTCCGTCAATTAAATTATTTTCAGAATGTGTTTTGTGGAGATTTTTATAAATTTTCACAGATTGAAATCATGAGTCAGTTGAAGCTAGACCACCTGCTCACTAGTGACTGACTTCAGGAGACACTTCTGGAGTTCTAGTGAGAAGTCGTTACCAGTGGAGTTCAACCAGGTCTGTTGTGAGATAGGAACTCACTGAAGACAATGGTGTACGGTAGCGCAACTTCGTGGATTGGTTGAAGTTAGACATTAACACCTTCAGATGCCGATTCAGTGGTATAATGGTTAAGTGCTCGCGCGCGAAGCCAGTAGGCCCTGGGTTCGAGCCCCGGGTGGTGCGGGTTCGTGGATGCGCACTGCTGAGGAGTCCCGTTCCAGGACGAAACGGCGGTCCAGTGCTTTCGGGTTTTCAATGGTGGTCTAGCTTCAACTGACTCATGATTTCAATCTGTGAAAATTAAATTATTTGACAGGCAATGTTATCTGAGCAGTAACCATTCATCCATCTATTTGCATTATTATGATCAATATCATGTATGTATGATCATGTATGCTTGGTCACATGTCACAACCTACACACACATCACTCACCAACTTCAATGTTAGTCACTTAAATATCGCTCGATGAATCATTCTCTTCTCCATATATGTATATATGTGCTTGAATCTTATTAATTGATTTGCTTCGCTTCGCTTCAATCCGATTGGATTCGATTAGACCCAGAATCTGTTTCTGTATTCGTTTGCTCACATGCATCAGCCTCTCTGTTTAAATTCTCTTGATATGCTTGTAACTTTATTATCTATGCTATCCAATAATAAACTGTAATCACCGCTTCGTATTACCTTCTGAATTCATATACAACATTGGGATTTATTTTATAACTGTTATCAAGGTAGGTGATTGATAAACGGAGCCGAAGGAATTATTTCGAAGCCAAGCCACAGCAACCTCTATTATTGTGGGATTTGGCTTGACAACTTGACTTTTGTGTGTTAACGGGTTATGGCAACTTGAATCGGTGTACACATGTATCAAGTTGTAAGTTTTGATTGATCGATTGACTGACTGACTAGTATTCTGGAAGGATGATTTAGTCAAAAATGAATCTTATGAGCTAGTTGGATTTATCGTGAAGAGTTGAATGCCCCTTTAGATAACATC